AAATATAGAATCATTTTTTATTTACAGTAAATAGATTTCTTCTACTTGTATTTACGAAGGAGATTTTGGATTGTGATTGGGGTTGATGGATGGGTGGGTGAGTGTTGAGTTGAGTTGAGTTGAGTTGGTTGGAGTGGTTTATATATATATGAAGGTAGAGAGGTAGGGAAGTGGTTTGGGTATATGGGGTGGATAGGTAGGTAATAGGTAGGCAGATTGTAGGTAATAGGTGTAGAGTAGGTATGGGTATCTAGGTAGTTGAATGAGGTAGAGATTTGTATTTGAGTGGGTGGATGTGAATAGGTGAGTGGATGTGATCTGTGGTATGTATGAATTGCAAGATAATGAGGAATGAGTAGATTTCGGATGTGTGTTTTTATTTGGCTCTCTCTATCTATTTCTGTTTATTAGATGTGGAGAGATGGATGGATGGATGGATGGATGGAGGGGGTGAGTGTAGATATGTAAGTATAAGTATAAGTAGTGCGGAAGTAGGTAGGTAGGTAGGTAGATATGTGTGTATGTTGTATCTGTGATTACACTAATTCCTTTAGGGAATTATCGTCACACATCACTTTGGATATGATATGAGTTATGTAAGATGGTCTTATCCTTTTTAGCTTCGGCTTTGTTTTTTCTATTGCCTCATCGCATATTTGTTGGGACTTGAAATGAAAAATGGAACGTTGGTTTGAGAGCGCGAGCGTGAGTGTGGATTATACTTTGGATGGTGTTGATGTGTTCTGTTCTGTCCTGTCCTGCTGGAGTGGTTGCTGAGGTGGTTGCAAACGTGAGAGTTGAGGGAAAGAATGGGAAAGAATGGGGTGGGGAGTAGAGAGTGGCTGGGTAGGAGGAGGGGAAAGGGAAGGGGTGGGAGGGGTTAGTGTTGGAGTTGGAGTGTGGATGTGGATGTGGAGGAGAGGGGAGAGGGAGAGGAAGGGAGATAGAGAAGGAGAGGAAGGGTATGGGGAAATAGGCAAATGGAGGGTGGATAAATGGAACGGAGAAAAGATGAAAAGAGGAGAGGAGAGATGAGGGGTAGGAAGCCTGGAATTTGGGACTTGGAATCTGAGAAACAGTCAGCGAGATAGGAGGGGAGAATGGGAAGGAAGATGGTGATTCACAAATAAGCTGTTGGATTCTGAGTTTAGAATGAAGGGATTGGGGTGGATATAAGTACTCGCAAAATTATGTGATTTAAGTTGTGACTTTGAATTTGGGAGCTGATGCTCTGGAAGACAGTCGTATAGAGGAATGGAACTACTGGAGTATTTGGTGATATGTAAAGGGAGGGGGCTGTACGGAGGTGTATGAAGGTGAGTAGAGTTTGGTTGTGTATTTATTGGTATTTATTCCTTGATATGAGAGGTAAAGTGTAGAGATATGAAATGAGAAATGGAAAATGGGAAGGGAATCAATGACTTCGGAATTGTCGTCTCACTATCAATAATCACAATATCTCCAGTAGTATTTTCCATTTCGGTATTTGTGAGACCGCAATTATCAGTACGAGCGTCGGAGAACTATGCCATGGGATCTGAATGTTTCTGGCCTTTTGATGGTCTCGGATTGAAACATTCGTGATTAGAGTCATCGAGGGATTTACTGTAGGCAACACGTTTTTGGCGAACGACTCTAAGCGATTGAAATATAGATTCATGTAATCCTTGACGAAAAAAAGTATCTACCTAAAGAAAGGAAGCAAGTCCAACTTTCTGCTTGCCTAGTTCCATGAGTGGATGGCAATCCGAAGCTACGGTACTACCAAACCACCAGAAATAATGTGCTTGCGAACAGTTTATTGATCTTATTCAGTAACTCGTGAGACTCGGGTGACTGATTGCGTACATGTCTTGAGTGGGCTGTTAGGAGAGCTTTCTTAGATTCGTCAACTTCATAGACTTGAGTTGAGGTTGGATATGTATGACCAGTGAGTTCTGAGCACTTGTCTGATGGTATCAAATTGTAACTCCACATAATGATGCTGACTGAAACAGTAGAGCGCCGAGAGTCCTCATAGTACGAGTAAATATTATTGTATGCCAAGTAGACTTCCACGTCAGACTCGATCAGCTCTTCCAGACTGGCTCGAGAAAATATGTTGAGATGATCTCATTCATATGTGTTTATAGAGCAACTTCACAAGTACCCAAATAAGAGATTGTAATTAGGAAAGACACGAAAGCCACACGTGTAGGTAGTAATAGATGACTGATCTATTAACCATACAATACTATAAAACCTGCGCTGCAATTGTATGGCTGGAATTCAAGATTGTTAAGAAGGCTGTTATTGGTGAGAGGAAATGTATGACTAAGCAAGCCGTCACTCTTCCACCGCCAAAATTCTGCCTCATGCCCTGCCAAAAAAAAGTCTCGATTGGAAGCATCTCGAAGTTAGTAGACATAAATAGACAAATTAAATAGTCATCTCATACAAAAGAGAAGAAAACTTTTTAGATACGTTTTTACTCAAAATTACAACCTTCTCTTGATCTCATCTACACTTTTTCGAGAGGTAAATATTTTCCTGTTCAATATACTATAAACCTTCTCGGCGCAAAGCAATTTCACCTGCCGGCTCTCGACTTTTCGATCATACGAATTTACACACCTTTCAGTTTTAGAAAGAATATAGAAATCTGCCATCATGGCCATGCCCCCAGCAATGAACGAACTCCTCAAATGGAGTGTAGAAAACTCTACTGCCACCGCCGCCGATCCTGCCGCACCCCCTCCACAAACCAGAGCCCTTCCAGCGGATGCCATGAATGTGCTATTTGGTGGTCCCAGTGACGCCGACCTCATGAAGGCTTCCATATGGGCCGTTCAATCTACCGACCCCGAAGTTACTATTGAAGATAAAGTCATTGCATTTGACAACTTCGAACAACTCATTGAGAACCTCGATAATGCCAACAACATCGAGGTACTCGAGTTGTGGAAACCTTTGTTGGAGTTTTTGGGACATGAGGAAAAGGAGATCAGGAAGATGGCTGCTTGGTGCGTGGGAACAGCAGTACAAAACAATGAGAAGAGTCAGAAGTCTATGTTGAAGGAAGGAGGTGTGCCACTTTTGGTCAGGATGTGTGTCGATGAGAAGGAGGAGAAGGATGTTAGGAGAAAGGCAGTTTATGCTTTGAGTAGTGCGATCAGAAATTTCCAGGAGGGAATGGACGCTGCCACTGAAGAGTTGGGCAAATTAGGAAGAAGTGGTGAGAAGATTGATGCGGCAGATATGGATGCCTGTGATGTCTTGATTGAGGGATTGAGGGAGGAGGCTGCAAATGTAGCATGAGGATGAGATATCAATGAGGCCGGAAGATTGAGGGATACGAGTTATAGCGATAGCTACTACGTCACATGAATGAACCGGGATGGAGTTTTGGAGTTTGGTAGATTAGACATTTGGGAATGACACAGGGACATTGATATCCTGCCAATCTTGTTAAGGGGGAGGGAAGTTTGACCAGGACTTTCTGATTAAGATTGCCACCTCACTGAGGACTCATTATAGTAAATGCATGAAAGTTACATGTACAATTAAACATATAAAGCCTTAGTTGAAATAAGTCTGAGAGCTTAAACAATACACGTTGAATCCCCAATATAAAACGAATTCATGCATAAATGCAAGTTGTTGATACAAGTAATCATCATCTGAAGATTTACCCCACCAAGCCCCTCAATTATTGCATGATTCTCACGTGTCGCCCACCGTATTGAACAAGTGTTTCCAACCGTCAAATGGCTTTTGTCTTTGACTCTCGGACCAGCAATGCAATTTCTTGGTTCGACACCAATGGGAAGTTGCCTCTCGCCGTTTTTATTTCAGGGGGCGGATGCTGTCTTGCTTCGGACTTTCGTATATCTACGCAGGGAATTGAACGCGATTACGAAGGATCGAATTTAGGTAGCTGGATAGTGGTCAATAGGTAGATTTTGGGGTAGATGTGAGAAGCAGACTTTGCTACTTCTATAGGTGAATAGAGCAGATGTCCGTATGTCACGACAACGTTACGGGAGATATCTTGAGATGCCTGCTTGGCAATCGAATACAAGACTCGTTCACTCACGATATGCTAAGGAATTTGAAGGGAGCAACCAATTATGGAAGAGATATTGCATCTGACTGAAGATCTAACGCGCGTCTGGTGGTGGTACATGAGACTTGAGTATAGACGTCGCAGTCATCGTAGACCTGAGTAATCTCATGTAATATTGTAGCCTCATCATTTCCAAGAACGGGAATTGGAAGTTATATGCTCGGAGGATTTGTACGATATACGTCCTATTCTCCCTACCTTGGTAGAGTCGGTGTGACCTTGAGTGACCCTGCTTGCATGGGGGGTTGATTCAACTTGGTTGTATGAGGAAAAGGGGGAAAGGGGGAAGATTAAAGAAGCTACCCAGTATTAGACTCTGGCTGAATGTTCCTGAGGAACAACGAATGGATGAACACGCATATAGGAACGGAGAACTGGGAAACCCAAGACGTTGTCCCTATCGACACCGACTTCTTCCAATTCACAGCCACCTGGATTTTTCTCATACCGGTTCCCTATCCTGCCTATCTCATGGGCATAAATAATTCGGAATAGTTACCTGCTGCTTTTAACCGTGAACGTATATTGTATATTGTAGTTTCCCTCTCTGGTCAGCATTTGAAGCTATTTATATATACACGTATAGATTATATATGAGTGCCCGGGTAGATCCTTTCATGACCAATTTACCATCTCTTTCCTTTCTCTCCTAACCATAAAATTCCCTCTCACTGAGTCTCACACATACCTCCCGTCCCCCTCTTTCTCCTTTCTACCTATCAAATCCTTCTTCAGCATTCTATTTTAAAGCGGCGAATACCGAATAAGATCGCTTCGCCTCCTGCAGTTACGGCCCACATTCAAACTTCGTGACATCGTCCTTTCCCATTTACTACGACCACGATCACCAATTCTTTTGACAAAACAACAACACACCTTCTTCTCTTTCAACCATCTTCTTTTTTATCAACCACGAATTAACAACTTCGTGAATCTTACTTTAATACAAAACTCCATCATTCTCGAGATCCTAATTATCACGAGAATTAACTCACCGCCATATTCCACAACTCTTTTATTTGACTTAACGTCTTAATTTATCAACCATGGAAGGTAAGCTTCAATCCAACGTGTATATCGCATGCATATCCTTTGCGCAGCTATCTAGATCATCATGAGCATCTACTAATATCATCTCTCAACCAACAGAAGAAGTCGCAGCCCTCGTCATTGACAATGGGTAAGCTCCCATCCAACAAAATGGTCGTGAGCCTCGAAAGACAGAGGGGTAGCTTTCGGAAGGAATCAACAACCGACCGAGAAACCTCAAATCTTCTACAAAGGCGAAGACTTGATAAATAAGAAGAATGAGACTGATGGGTTCTGTAGTTCTGGAATGTGTAAGGCCGGTTTCGCCGGTGACGATGCTCCAAGAGCTGTTTTCCGTAAGTAGATCATCCTTGCAGGCAACTGTCACAACCCACCACCTTGATTTCTATCAGAATCAATTATCTCGACAACCATCTTGATGATAATGAAATATCTCTAACGTGCAATATAGCTTCCATTGTCGGTCGTCCCCGTCATCATGGGTAAGAATTCCATTTCCATGACACCCCGCCATTTCCCCCCACAACTCGTGTCACCCGAACAGGAACTGATAAGGGATATTATAGTATTATGATTGGTATGGGTCAAAAGGACTCGTATGTTGGAGATGAAGCGCAATCCAAGCGTGGTATTCTCACCCTTAGATACCCAATTGAGCACGGTGTTGTCACCAACTGGGATGATATGGAGAAGATCTGGCATCACACTTTCTACAACGAACTTCGTGTAGCACCAGAGGAGCACCCAGTTTTGCTTACTGAGGCCCCAATCAACCCAAAGTCCAACAGAGAAAAGATGACACAAATTGTCTTTGAGACCTTCAACGCCCCTGCATTCTACGTCTCCATTCAAGCCGTCCTTTCCCTTTACGCTTCCGGTCGTACCACCGGTATCGTTCTTGATTCAGGTGACGGAGTTACTCACGTTGTTCCAATTTACGAAGGTTTCTCTCTTCCTCACGCCATTGCTCGTGTTGATATGGCTGGTCGTGATTTGACTGATTACCTCATGAAGATCTTGGCTGAGCGTGGTTACACTTTCTCCACCACTGCCGAGCGTGAAATCGTCCGTGATATCAAGGAGAAGCTCTGTTATGTTGCTCTTGATTTCGAGCAAGAAATTCAAACCGCCAGTCAATCGTCCAGCTTGGAGAAGTCATACGAACTTCCTGATGGACAAGTTATTACCATCGGTAACGAGCGTTTCCGTGCTCCAGAAGCTTTGTTCCAACCATCTGTCTTGGGTCTTGAGAGCGGTGGTATCCACGTCACTACCTTCAACTCCATCATGAAGTGTGATGTTGATGTTCGTAAGGATTTGTATGGTAACATTGTCATGGTAAGATTTTCCATCTGCGAAATTTACAGGAAGTTATGCTAACATTCTCTCTTAGTCTGGTGGAACTACTATGTATCCAGGTATCTCCGATCGTATGCAAAAGGAAATCACCGCTCTTGCACCATCATCGATGAAGGTCAAGATCATCGCACCACCCGAGAGAAAATACTCCGTCTGGATCGGTGGTTCTATTTTGGCATCTTTGTCTACTTTCCAACAGATGTGGATCTCAAAGCAAGAGTACGACGAGTCTGGACCTTCCATTGTCCACCGCAAGTGTTTCTAAGGTATGCAATTATCCCTGGTTCCTTTGATAATGGGGCTATGCTAATCATCGATATCACAGCGTATCCCGGTCGATTTGTGTTTACATCACGAACTTCACGAATTTGATCCAAAAGAAGATTCGAACAAGACAACAACTCCCAGTGTTTTGTTTCGCCGCGAAGTGTTGTTCCGAAAAGTTCTGGTAGCGATTGAGCGACTGGGTGGACTCTTTCGAAGTAACGGATGGGCTTTGATCTAGCTGACTGTTTGCTTGGAGGAGGAATTCGAAATGTCGTATCAATCATACAAAGCTTTTTTTCTTACTTTTTAGTGGTGCCAACTTCTTCATGTGTTTTTGAGCTGCACCATTTTTTTTGTTCTTCATTCATAGCGCGAGAAAATTTCTTCTCTAGAGAATCAAATTAAAAGGTAGTACACTGATTTATAATTGAGCTCGCTCAGACTTTGAAGGGAATGTGACGTTATGCGTGTGATGGTATGATATTGTGTTTGTCTTTGAATTTGCAGGATATATGTTACAATAAAATATGCCTGTCCTTGTGATAATTTAAAATGGTTAATTCGTCCCTTGTCTCAAATACTTGCCTAGCTCTGCATCGCCCAAAAATTCTTAGCTGCACCTTGCAGCGCGAGTACTACTTCGCTAATGCATTCCTTTCCCCATCGTTCATATCCGAAGGGTACGACTTCACTTCCATGATTTGTACAGACATGACTGTCATTCTCGGAGCACCTTGTGTGTCCTATAACTTACATTCTTCGTAACCATTCTCTCGCTCTCCAATCTCAAAGCCATCTGTTGTCTTCTTATAATGGCCATGGGATCTGGTACGAGTTTAGGCTTGGGCAGGAGCTTCGACCATGGCATGTTCGTCTCGCAATCCTCTTTGTATTCTGTTATGATGGTTCTGTCTGCGTATTGGTTAATATCTGCGTAGTATTGGTCAATCGGTGACGATGGGGAGCATAGTGGTTCTAGAGAAGATGGTGATTGTGGAGGGGGCGTTGAGCGAGGTCTTGGCCGCGCAGAGCTAAGTTGAAAGGTGAGGTAGAGGATTGTGGATGGGGAGGTGAGAGAATACATCCACAAATATCCATCGAGGGATGGAATGATAGCGGCTCTGGGAGGTAAGACACGGAAAGATTTGGAGGATGGTCTGAGGTTCAATAATGCTGGATCAATGGAGATTTCGAGGGCGAGGGTGGAAATTTGGGAGATGAGCCAGCAATAGAAGGGCTCGCTGCGTGAAAGATCTTTAGAAATTCGGTTGCTGATTGGGAGAAAGAGTGTATCAAGACAGTGATGGATATAGAAAGGTTTGTTGCGAAACGTCTGAACAATATATTCGTCGAGGCAGATGAGACGACTTTCGTGAGTCGTGAAAAAAAGGGCTGGAGGTGGTCTGCGACGGGGATATTGCGCTTTTTGTTCATCTAGAGGGAGAGTGTGTTAGTTGATTGCAAGTGTGCATTTCTGACAAGTAAAACTGGTGAGCACACCATTAGGAAAATCTAAGGAGGGTTCTAAGACGCGGGGCAGGATGGCTAAGTGCCATATTTTGTAGCGCAGTTCTGTGGGAATACTGGGGAATAGATGGAATTGGGTGATTGTAGGCGAGGATGGGTCATCATGATCTCCTTGTTGAATATCACTGCTTGAATACAATCGTGGGAGTAATTTGTGCATTTTTGAGGCTTATTTTACTGTGTTGTTATTCTAAAGAGATGTGGCGTGATTATTGTTGTCGTCGTGGAGAACATGGAATATATATCAAATGTAACTTGATGTTCACACTCGCTTATTTACTAATGCCACGCGGTGTCTTGAAGCTGCGGCCGAGCTTCAGCGTAATCCGTGTCTCGAAACCCAATTAATCTTCAAGCTCCCATAATTTATAGCACATCTGCGAATGTTATGAAACAGATCGGAAAAGTAATGCGATTTCAATAATATAGGACATGTCAGGAAGAGGATATGGTGGTCTCGGGGGGGACCCTTACATGAACGGCAATTCTACTGGATATGCGAATGGGAATGGATATGGAAATGGCAGCTGGAATGGGAATGCAAATACAAATGCAAGTGCCTATCCGGGACAAATTACTGAAGATGGAGACTATGATCCTTATGGCTCTGGCATTGATCGATATGCCACTCCACCCCCTATACCAGAAGGGCTTCGAACACCATCACCTTCCATGCCTCGAACACCTCGATCGAGAGGTCTTTCACGACCGAGAGAACCAGCTGGCAGACCAAAGTTAGAGGAAACCAATGCGGAGAAACAGATTGGGGAAGTGCTAGAACACATTAAGACGGAATGGCCTGCCTTGTGTCAGAATGAATGTGTGCCAGTACAATTGGCATTGCAGCTTCTAGACACGAGTTCAGTTGGCAAGGCTCATGAATATGCGCAATTTCAACAATCGATGCAATACCTACAAGACTCTTTGAAGAACATCGTGCATGAACATCATCAGGGATTCAATAGTTCGATTGGTACTTTTCATAAGATTCAAACGAGTATCCAGACATCGCAGAAGAGGGTACGGACATTGAAAGACTCGCTCGCACAATCGAAAGCTAATCTCTCGACTACCGATCCCGAATTGAGGAAATTAGGCGCGGCTTCGACGACTTATGATGAATTACTACATACACTATCGGAGGTGGAGGAGTTACGGCTGGTTCCGGATCAATTAGAAGCACGGATTTCAGAGAAGAGATTCTTGACTGCGGTAGATGTTTTGCAGGATGCGTTAAGGAGAATTCGATCGCCTGAGTTGGATGATATTGGGGCTCTGAGTGAACTAAGGACTTATCTCGCGAATCAGGAAACGGCCTTGACGGATATATTGATTGAGGAGCTGCATGATCATTTGTATCTGAAGTCGCCTTACTGTCAGGAGAGATGGCAGATGCTGGCCAAGACTCAAGGTGGTGTTGCGAAGGAGAAGTTCGAGAGTTCAATGACAGTGAGACCATTTTTTGAGGTTCTCGATACGATGGATTTGGCAGAGCCGATGGTAGAAGATGCGTCAAGAAACCCAGAAGCGGATACGTTCTACTATGTGGAATTATTGACAGAGGCATTGAATAAGCTGGGTCGTTTGGATATTGCCGTGAATACTATCAAACAGAGACTTCCTGTCGAGCTATTCGGTATCGTCAATGAGACTAATAGCGAAGTCGATCAAAAACATCCAAGCTCTTTACGTGGTGGACTCGCATCTACACAAGGAAATCAAACCTTCTCTAGTCGAGAGAACACGATTCGTACCGATGTTATCTATGATCTATTATGGACGTTGTATGCGAAGTTTGAGGCTATTGCCGAAGGTCATCGTGTATTTCATGATGTGGTAAAAGCTATCACAAAAAGAGAAGGCATGAGGAATTCAGTCATACTTCTTGGTGGTTTCAGGGAGTTATGGAATCTATACCAGAACGAAATTCGCTCCTTGTTGCATAATTATGTCACTACCGATGCGGATGTCTATCAATTTGATTCTCCCAGACCTGGTGCATCAAAATCGTCCAAGTTAGAGAAGCTTTTCAGGTTTTCGGATGCGGATGCTAAGTCTGTCTCTATGACGACTGAATATGATGATCTAGAGAACATTATCAGAGCTGCTGTACCGGGTCTCATGTCGAGCTCGAGAAAATCAGGTGCCGATAGCAAGAAAGCGAAGTCTTTCTTGGAGAATTCCGTTGGTAGAAATGGAACAAAACGTTTGACTGGTTCCGCTTTCGATGCTAAAACGGGTGGTATGGGAACTCACAAGTCTTTGGTAGAGCCAAGTGTGTTCAACATGAGCCTGTTGTTGCCTCCTACCTTGAGCTTCTTACAAAGATTAAAGGCCATTGTTCCACCTGGTTCGGATTTGGTCACAAGTACTTTGACATCGTTCTTGGACAACTTTCTTGTCAATGTCTTTCTACCTCAACTTGATGAAACTCTAGGCAAGCTTAGTGATTCGGTATTTGAGGAGACAGATGCATTCCAACAAGATGCTCAATGGGCAAGAGTCTCCAGGCGACCTGTTTTCAAAGGCACAGCTGCTTTCTTTACATTAATTACAGCTTTCTGCAGGATGTTGGATACAATTCCACATGATCAAGCATTGAGTCAACTCATCATCACGCAAATGATGAGATATTATGATAGATGCTATGACTGGTTCAAATCGCTCGTATCTCGAGTTCGAGATTCCGAAGGTTCGACACTGAAGCTCTCTGCACTGCTTGCTAGTGAACCTGGTGATATCCACGATACCATGCAGAAAATATGGACAAGTGAAGAAGTCGATTATCAGTTACTAGACAAGGAAACTGGTCTTTTGATTCTGCAGACAAATGAGAATCCTCTTGAGGCGGATGATCTTATTTCGGATCGGGAAACTATCTCCTCTCTATGCGTTTTATATACCAGTATGAAATGGCTAGCTATCAAGATTGGCCAGCTAAGACATATCACGAGGAATGATGCAGATTCATCTCGTACACCATCAATGCAGAAACCACCGCATAGACGTTGGACTTTACTAAATGATCCCGCGAGAGCACAAGATGAACAGGTTGTGGTTTATCTTCCTATGACGCAAGAAACTGTTGTGTAAGTCTTTTTTCCTTTCATCTTTGATCCATGGCTAATGTGATATATAGCGCATTCGATTCAATCGTCTCCTCATTCCAAGAACTAGCCGCTACTGTACTTTTAACCTTGCACATGGAAACACGCATTCAAATCCTCCACTCCCTAGCACGCGTTCTCTCGCCCTCCTCGGGATCAATTACTTACCCATACATTCTTTCTCAACCTGTCTCAGACCCTGACCCAACTATCCTTTCTCTCAACGCAGATTTAGTGGCGTATGATGAAACGATAGTGAAGTTCTTAAGAGAGAAAGAAATCAACTTCGTAAGAAAGGGACTTGGATTATTGATTGATACTTTCATGGTCGATAACGCGCCGAAAATCCAAAGAATCAATAAAGAAGGAGGGAAAAGGATGAGATTAAACGTACTAGTGCTGCAGCAAAACTTGAAGGGTGTAGAAGATGGCGTGGGCTTGATTAGGAGCGGAAGATATTGGGGATTGTTTGAAGAGGGACCTGATGGGATCGTGGGTTGGGCGAAGGAGAAGGGCGGCGCGAGTGCTGGGAATGTCAATGTAGATGGAGAGGGTGAGGATCAGGAGGTTAAGTTTACTTATGATGAGTTGAAGGGGTTGGTTGAATTGTGCTTTAGTGAACAGTTGGGAAGTAACGAGAGAGGAATCACGACAGTAGCTAAGAGGGGAATGGGAGAGTGTATGTTGCAGTTGAGTGAGCATATGTGGCAGAGTTAAGTGGGGTTGGAAATGAAGGAAGAGAGGAGAGGACAGAAGGAAGGATATGAAGGTGGAATAACTAAAGCTTACATCAAACTCCTTGGGATAGGGTAATGAATAAATGGGTGGACGGATGGGTGGATTGATATGCATTTGGCGCGGAGTTCTTGGAGTGATGAGTGGATTCGATGAGCTGAAAGAGGATTGTTGGGCAGTTGAGGATATGTATGGTATGGTCTTCTGACTTTGGTGTAGTTGTTCGATAGGTGATGGTTTATAGTTGATGGTTGGTAATTAGGAAGACTATGCAAATTATATCTAGATGTCTGGTATTAGTTCGTTGAGTGTTCGTCAATTAAGGTGTCGAGAGGTTCGGTTGCTCTCGCTGGAATCGATGAGAACCTTGTAGACCTAAGACTGATTGCTTGTGTCTGTGATGGTGATGGAGATTGTATATCGCCTTTGAGAATGATATGTTGATCTATACTTTAGCGCGGGAGGGGTTGAACTTTGAGAAGATACAGTTGAGCTTTTGATGAATGAGAGAAACAGCTTTTGGTGAACACTACCGATTCCCGGTGAGGTGTGGGAATATTGCTGGGAAGTATTATATCAATGTCCTCATTTGACTATTGCTATAATAGAATCTACAAGTACGGGAGTCGTATGTTAATTAGATAGTATATGAAATATAACATGGATCTGGTATAACAATATAATAACTATCTCCTAGACAACAAAGTCGAAGATAGGGAGATGAAATCACGTGATCCATAACCATTCTCCCACGTCGTGCAACTTTTCGATCTATATTATTTTGAGTTCGAAAATAGATTGACAGATTTTGATGCATACTCATACTTGCTCGGTATTTGGTCTGATTTCTGTGTATTAATCAATTTGAAACGATCTTGGAAGAATTATCAACATCACGATTCATCAAGCACAACTGGGATACTCTACTTACTTTTTCAAGGTTACTCTTCCTTACCCCGCCCCCACCAAATCCCAAAGTTCAAACAAAAAAGTTCTCACACTTTCCCGCTGAGCATAGCATCGCATCATCACGAGCTTTTCTCCCATTCACATCTTTCCGCTCCGCCTGGGGAACTTGTATTACACATTTATTTTATCTACTCTTATCTCTTATATTCATATATTTCATAAAAGTATATACATACATTTGAAGCTCCTGAATACGATCATGGCGCCCTCACCCCTCCAGCAAAGAAGAACGCATAATACGTTACTTTTTCAGAAATTGCTGAATTTGAGAGATGGAGCGAGTCCGCTTACGCTGGTGCTGGATTCGTTGGAGCAGAGTGGGAGGTTGGTTGTGAGGGAGTTTTGGAGGAGAGCTTTGGTGAGTTTTGGAGGGGTTTTTTTCTTTTGGGTTGGGGTTGGGAAGGGGAGAGGAGCGGAGGAGTCTGGACTTGGGAGGCTGTATAGGGAGAATGAGGTTGGGATGATGAGGAGTGAGACGAGAGGAATAAAATACTGGATGTTGTGTACGAGTAGTTCTCGTGTTGTATGGAAAATTTGTCCTGGATGGATGATCACGTGGATGGATGAATCGTCATTTCTCTTGATAGATTGTTTTTGGATTTTGTTTTCATGTACGTCTTCAGCTATACTGACTAACATATACAGATATCGAAATCAAAAGTCATCTTCATATCATTCTCCACTCTCCAGAAACGTTTACCCTTTACTCCAGATGTTTTTGTCTCAGCTCATAGTAAACCACTTGCTCAACTTCGTCGAGAAATCGTAGCGCATTTACCTTCGCCTACAACTCCTCCGTCAGCTTCTCAACAAAGTATGTTTCTCTTCTCTTCTGGTATGGATAATGTGTGAATCAATCAGCTGACCCCATCCAGAAATACTCCTCATAATCGATAATCTTCATCCCCTTACAGCTCATCCAGAACACCTCTCCCCCTTCCTCTCTTCCCTAATTATTCACCCCACAATCTCTCTCCTCTGTACCCACCACCTCGACATTCCTCTCCCCTCCTCAACAACAAACCCCTACATCCCCACTCCCCTTACAACTCTCCTCTTCCTCGCTACCGCCATCATCACCCCCCAAAACTTCACCCACGAATTAGCACGCAAACGAGCGCGCGACAAGTCAGCACGTGAACCTGAATTCGGCACCGCAGAGGGAAAAGAAGGTGTACTTATGGGTTTTGGCAATAATGCCAGTATCACCAGCGAAGCGAAAAATGGGGAAATCGTCCTAATCCTCGAACTGCGACGCAAATCCGGGAGAGGAACTCGTGAAACATTCATCTACACACCACCTTCACATCATACCACATCTCCCACGACGAAAGATATAGGAAGCATTCAACTTCTCGATGAGCATCCCGCTTTCGCGGTCCCGGATATTTCGGATGCTGCCATGGGCAAGGATGAGGAGGAGGGGATAGAAGGCGATGTAACGTTTTCGCTAGGATTGACGGAGAAACAGAAGAGGGATAGAGAGAATGTTGTACTACCGTATTTCGATGCGCAGAAAGAGGGAGGGATTGGGAGTGGTGGAAAAATTCTTTATGAGATGGGGGCGGAGGATAGAGAAGATTTTGATGATGAGGAGGATGAGATTTAGGGGGAGGGAAGCGGTTTTGGTTTCCCGCTTATTTGGAAGGGCATTTTGATGATGATGTCATGTCCGAAATTGGGTTTTGAGATTGAGATTTTTTTTCGGATAGAATAGTAGATTGGGAGTTCGCACTCTCGAATTCTTGGGGATCTGTGTAAATAGTGCCTAGATCTGAGGAAATGATATCTCGATGATCCATTGACGAATCTCGGACATAACCAAGCGAAACAAAATACCCACAAGAATATCTTAAATTCAAAATCGTTGGTGGAGAATTACATTGTTAGTAGACTACATATTGTCTTTCAAGGAATGATATAATGTGATCAATCGTTTACTCGTAAAAGTACGGTGTGTACCGTGTGTACAAAGTCTTCTTTGAAGTTCTAGAGGCATGTTGGTGGATGTTTAAACTAGCTAGTTGTTACTAGGTAGAGGTTCGAGGTTCAAGGTTGGAGATAGGAGGTGGGAGATGGGAGGTGGTGTAGGATTGTATTTTATCTTGTTTCATTATTAGTATTAGTATGACGGTGATATCACGTATCGAGATTTGAGATTCCTCTTGGTGATGAGATTGGAGGAGGTTGGATGTGGTGGAGCTGTGGATTTGCGTTTGTATTTGGATTTGTGTTATAGATTCGGGTTTGGATTTGTGATATGGATCTGGATTTTGATTTGGGTTTGGATTTCTGTGATGGGGTTGGGGTTGGGGTTGGGTTTGGTGGTATGGATTGAAGGGGTTGAATGGGTTGGATTACTAATTTTGATGATGGGATTGGAAGTTAGTGAGGAGGGAGGCTGGAGATGGAAAGGAAGGAGAAGGAATGGGAGATGAAATGGGAAATGGGAAATGGGAAATGGGAAATGGTATAGGAGGAGGAGCGGGGAGGAGATGGGATGGATAAACGTTGATGGACGGGCAGCGGCGGGATCTAGTATATGAGTATATAAGCATGCGTTTACTTTTTCTTTTGCTTTTAGTTTTGCTGTGCTATGTTATGTTATGGTTTTTTTATAGATGTGGAGTTTATACGACATGCCTTTTGTATGGATATTGGTCTTGTATGTACGTATATGTGCGATTTATATATACAATTTACACATATCACACATCTCACACAATCTGTATATACAATTAAAGTTTGAATCACAATAGTAAACCACATTACGTATAAAAAGTACGAGATGGTAATAAGGTTTGATTCTGCAAGCTATGAATAGAATCTGGATTTTGGATTCTGTAGTCTGGAGTCTTGGAGGAGGATTGTTTGGTAAGGGAGAGGGAATGCGGAGATATAGTGAGTGGAGGATGGAGGGAGATTCAAGAAGTGGGAATGGGGAGGAATGGAATTGGGAGAGAGAGGGAGTGATGCATCAATATCGCATCTAAGAACGAGAACACACAAAAAAGAAAGGAAGAAAAACAACGAGGAAAAGATTCCAGAAAGAACACATAGAAGCAACTACACAGTATCAAGAAATTTCAAATCCCAAAAAAATAAATTTGAGTAAACAGTGGGATCCGCGCCAACTTCCCCTTTTTCCCCAGATACCCACAAAGTACCTTTAACGATTTACCAAATCTGATCATTCCGCCAATCCATGCATGTAGGTATGTAGATCATTCACGACGACTACCTAGCATTTCAAACATTTCAAACATTCCAAATAGTGATATTCATTATCAGATCGCACTAAAAATTAATCCACACCATTCAAACCCAAAATGAAGATTCCAAATTAATTCCAGAGACACGGAAAGGGTGGAGGAGGTGGAGCGGAAAACACGGAGTGCGATATATACGAGAAAAATGAAGCTATTCGCTCTCTGACTTACAAATCCTATTGAAATTTTTTGGGGACTCCGAGACACAAAAAGACCCTTTTGAAGATCTTGTCAAAATTTTTCGATTCAGGGTCCTCCGATCTGTATTGCTGTCTCACAATGTTAGTTTTGGTCTGCGAATCGACGCTATCTATTGCTTGACAGCTGCTAGTTTCTGCACTATATCTCATGAATCACCTCCTCCATTTACCGCTAGTTTGAGGACTGCAACAAAGGGACACAAAACAACACCGATACAATAGTACACACCAATAGTTGAATTTTCTCCATACGTTCCAGAAGATTTCTAGTGCCGTGTAACAATAAACGTCGTTCAATAATTTCTTTATATTATCGAGCACCGGTACAACATCCGAACAACAATCCAATAACAATCCAATAGTTCTCAAACAAAAGCGGACACGTGGCTATAAAACGCCACATATAGGACCCTTTGTCGATCTCTTTTTATTTCCCCATCCACTTAGATTCGCGACAAAGTAAATCAAACATTCTAACGAGTCCCCTCATAAGCTAAACCAAACAAGTTTAGTGTAGCCACTCTAGTCTCAAGTCAAAGTAAGTCATCCTAATTTCTCTAACCATGGACAACATTATGAATCGACCCGAGCGACTCAGCGAAGTCAACCAAGATAAAGGCTTGGGAGAAATTCTAACACCAGCAGAATACCGCAATCGCGGAATCAAAGTGATCCGCGCCATTGAGGACGCCATCCACACCATCCCTCGTCAAGACACTCCATATCCCGATTGGAACATCCGCTATTTCAACCCTGGCGGAGGCCATGGGAAAGACAGTGTCGAAAGACTCTGTTTCGGCGCCTTTCGCAACATCCTCACCGACCCAAAGCATCCTATCGACTTCGAAGGCTATCACTGGTCCGACTTCAACTTCCATTCGAAAGAATACACCAACAGGGGTTTTGACGCAGTGTGGCCCCAATTCAATTGTGTCTGCAACGTGTGGGTGTCAGCGAAGGTGGGTACTGTCATTGTGCAAATGTCAGACACGAAGACTGATCTTGACATTCCCGGACTAGATACACCACGTCTTTACAATAGTGAGCTCATCTACCAAGCTTGGCGCGATGCGGTCACTGCGAATGTGACAGGCGAACTTCCCCCAGTCCGAATTGTGTCAAAACTAACAGATTTGAAGTACATCATCCGTGCTCCAATTGGTAACTCAGGAACCCTTGCTACCATGAGAGATGTTCTTCTCTCGCAAGGTGTCTCGAAAGACCAACTTGAGAGTAGAGTAACGGTGAAGCGAACTTTTGATGACCCATCGAGTGATGAGTTCAAAATATTGATGGGGACCGTGAATGGAAGACCTATTGGTAGATTGTGCGCTGATCACGCGGAGAGCTTGAACGGGAAACAGGTACAGAGGATACATGTTTGGAACGAATTCATACCATCCTTTGGCGCCTTGATCTTCGAACTAGGCGAGGAGAAAGCTTTGACCGAACTCGAACAAAGCACCCGTCAAAAAGGTAAGTCAAACACCACACAAGCTCCTTCACAAAAACCTCAACCCCCCCGTCTTCTCCCAGCAGCGCCGGCCAAAGTCACTAGGAAGATTAGCGAGAGAGTAAAGAATTTGATGAAGAAATTTCAAGAGTGATTCTCGGTAACTAGATAAGAAAGCGCTGGCGCTAAGGTCTGTCATCAGTAGGTTTGTCTATTGATACACAACACCCTCGAGCCTTTTCCCACTTTGGAGTTGGGCCTCTTATGAAAGCATTTCTACAAAAACCAAAACAAGAATAATAATAAAAATTACATAAAAACATAAAAACCTGAACAGAATTTGAGGAAAAGAATAGTCTCGATTACAAAGGTGATCGAAAGTCTCAGTGTGAAAATTGTAACATAGTGCCAATGCATTAGCAAAGTAAAAATGAAATGTCAAATACCTGACTAAAGACTATTCGGCCCCAAGGCAACAGATAGCTATCTCACAGGGTACTCATAGAACCTATGTCAACGCAGTCTACTGTCTACATGTACAAGATATCTCAACGCTCCACCTCTCCGCCCCCAATCTTCCACTACCCCTCAGCCTCCTCCATCCCAAATATCTTATAATCGACCAGGAACTCAGACATCTGTAGCAAGATCATATACAACATGTAAGCACCCAACGAATGCACAAAGTGATACGTATACTAGATGGATAAATTCTTATCACATCACTGTCTTCTTCTTCCTCTCCATTTGCACTAGCGCACGAAAGTGGAAAATCAATACAAGAACTCAACTCAACACACGAGTTCCCCTCTCCATCCTCGAAATCTCCCATTCAATCTTTCTCAAAAGAAATTCTTCAAATATCCATTTTTTTTTATACATCTAAACGCGCAAGAGATGACATTAGCAACAGCAGTACATAGACAAAGCAAAAGATTCAGGTTCCAAGCGGGGGGCAATCGCGGCTTGAAAATTGCAGTATCAAGAATGGGGTTTGCAGTAAACATGTAAATAAAAGAAAGTTCCTCCCACCTAAATCTTTCATGTTGGCGACAAGGCTTGTATACACATCTACACCTGCATCTAATTATATCCCAAGTCTTTTCGGATATATCATTAAGGACTTTGTAGATCACGTGAATATGCAGGAACTAGAGCAGTCCCATGAAGTGGATTGAATCCCGCAAACCCAGTAAATCCCGAAATTTTCAAACCCTGCCCATTTACCGAGGCGAGACGGAGATGCCTCCGCAGGAAAGATGGAATTCCGTCTAAGCGGTATGGATTGCAGATATCCCATACTTATTTTCGACATGTAAAGAACGCCCTGCAGTACAGGCTGCACTGCAGTATCGAGGAACTATCGATTTTCGCCACGAAAGATTCATCAAGCTCTCTCAGCTGGCATTGCTAAACAATGCAAGACTCGTAATATCTGACGCCACCAAGAAGAAGTCAAGAAGCTAACGTGTATGAAGATATGTAACTCCTGAGAATGTAAATGCGATTGGCAGACATTATAACCTAATGGAGAAGCTGTATGCAGTGGGAGTCATGAAAAGTAAAACACCGCTGAACCATAGAACGCTTGGACGTGTAAAACAATAGTATACGAACTTGAATTTCAAGTTTCAAATGAACGTTTCTATATTTTCACCTCGAAATCATGAACAGAGATTTGAGAAGCGGGATCTCCAGGGACATAATCATATAGTGACCTCTCTAATCTTCCATCCCCTGTTTCTGCTATCAGATGACTTCTTATTCAACCTGAACTCCATGATACTGTCTGATTTATGTTGAGATGGCCATTTTTCCAGTGACACATTTGGTTATACTCGCGAACGTTATTGAGCTAACGTTCCTGTAGCAAGATTGATTAGCTTGACTAAAGGCGGATGTAAGCATTCAGCAGCAAAGTTACAAGGATGGCGAGATTTGAGGAGTTCACTGTATACAACGTGGTATGTTGGTCCATTAATATGTCTTACGGCAGTTGGCCTAGTTGATCTGCGAACCAGATCATGCAGGAGGGAGAGTTAATGCAAGTCCCTGCTCTTAATTTTTTTCAACTCTAAGAGGTGATTTCCATAGCCGAAAGATATCTTACCATGAAAGAAATGCTACCTTAGTAAATGAATGGAGATGAATGAGAAGGCTCACGGCTAGAAGAGGCGTCATAATGGGATATTGTGGAGTGAAGTACGTGGTGAAAAGGAAAAATTGTCAGGGAAGAAGAGAGGGGCAACAGGCTATACCGGCAAACATGAAGTGGGGAATTCCGCCCCACTCACCAAAGCGGAGTGGATTGAAATGTAGTTATCTAGCAATCCGAAATGTCGCTAAACCTTCATCCGAGCTAAACGATGAAACTCGATAAATGACAGCGGTTGCGCGCCGCGCTTTGACAGCCACAATATATTAAAGTTTCGGCTCTTCCCCTTCTCATTTCTGGGGTTTCAATCCAAGTTCGAGGGCAAGGGGCAATTCTTGCCTTGTGTATACTTGGAAACGTTCATGATATTCGGCCGGTGAACCAATTATACAAATAGATTCATGCTTTGTTTCCTGTTCAAGAAAGATTCAGTGCAACTGATTTGTAGCCAAAGTGGACCCATCTCACGGTAGAGTTACTAAATCCTCAGATGCTGCATGAAAGTGGTACGATGAAGACTCTCTACCCTGTCTACCCTGGGTGATCAGACTTGAGGACTAACCATCATGGGAAGGATAGTTGGTCATTATCAATCAAGATTGAGTGTCTTCTTAAAGTTTAATCACTTCAACGTTGGCATACGAGAGTTGGTTGAAACGTATTGATATTAACAACAACGGTATATAGATGATATGATAAGATGCCTCATTTTACTATTATGAAACGGGTGTTTAATGACAGGGAACCGGGTGACAGACCAACTCCAAATTCCCCCATTTTCAAGTCTCTCTGATGGGATTAAATTCGTGGAGTGGTCTCAAACACTCATATATGATTCTTGAGTCAAAGCCCTAAGCATGAGCAAGAGTAGTATGGCTGATACTGCCATAGACGTTTTATCCGCCGCGCCTTCGACGGATAGCGCGAGTAAGAAAAATTGAGGTCTCTTGGAATGCAAGCCCTCCGTAGGTCAGAGCACTGATTTCGGCAGATTCGTTCTTTGATAATCTTCTTGAAGACACTTGAGGATCTAAGCGGTAGCGAATCAAAATAGATGTGATGTCCGCAATACACACGAGACCAGTAATCTTCAATATGACGCAATGGCAGTTGTGATCGATCGTGTTCTAGCCAGAAATCTCTTGTAGAATTTGAAAGACGAACCTAAACGGTTGAAGTTTGCGAATTAAGCAAAAGAAAAACATCCAAACGTGCATATTTCGAGAATTTTGGAATCTTACTTGAACCAATGCATGCATAAGACTTGTCACTTAAACCGCATGCATCAGTACGGAGTAAGATCATGAGGATAGAAGCGAAAATATACTTTTCAAGGGTGATTCGGGTCTGGGAGCGGCCTAGCGCTCAGTAACTAATCCCTGTGCAATCCCTCGGATCCATGAAAATCTTGTTGGAGATTGCACTACCTGTTGACCCAAATACAATTGAAATAAGCCCTTAAAGATTGGAACGAGCTTATGGAGCATCGAGTGAAGAAAAGACTAAACCAAGATTGGGCAAAAGCTGTACTGCCTTGTAAACTCGCGTTTGACCCGCATTGTCTGGTTGCTTTTTATGTGGTCAAAAGTGGCTTGTAGTGTGATCTTCGTACCCATCAATATCCCGTGATAGAGGCTCAGAGTAAAATTGCCGTACAATGAGGTCGATTGTGATTTGCATAACCTGCGAATATGATGGCTGTGGAATCGTGTATTACGGGAAGAGCAGCCGATTACAGCAGTATGGGCATGTGAGATATGGATTGTGTTGACAGCGGTATTTGCATGGTTCGTAATCAGATGGTTGGGGGCCTGTAGGGTTTCAATCTGCCTCCGCACAGACCTTGGTATGTCGACGAGAGGATACAATTCGATATAGGAAACGATTAGAATGATGAACGTCTGTGCGAAAGCCTCAAAGAGCAGGGGGCCTTCAGGTTGAGGTGAGACTTACATGGTAGGTCGCAAAGGTAATGTGTGACCAAGCTATTTACTGTTTCGATTCGGCACCAAATGAAGAACTCGGGAGTCTGTGCAAAAGGTATAAGTTTATCGGATGAGACCCTCGAGAAGTCGGGACTAGACTGCTTCTAATTCTGAAAGAAGGGAGATAGTCAACCAAGTGTTTCTTACTAGGGTCCCGCGTAAAGTAGCTAGGTATATTGAAGACTAGGACGGAGAGAGTGCAGAGGGAGGAAGATCGAACGCGATTTGAACCGATCAGACATCTTACGTAGGTAGGTATAGTTCTGTGATGAATTGATCGCTTTTATGAATGCATCCTTGGACCACCACTCTTAATATAGATTTGTTCTCCATGTGTCGTTGAATTGGCGACATTCTTCATATTCAATGATGGCTGTGGTTTGATAAGAAAGAGAAGATGATGAAAAAATGGATGGATGCATGGGGATTTGATTGAACCTCGAGCTATTATCGCTGTTGCTGTTGGTATTGTCGTCGGTATTGATGTTGATGTTGATGTTGATGTCGATGATAATGATGGTGATGGTGATGATAATGTTGATGTTGATGTTGATGTCAAGAATGGAAATAGAAATGGAAATGGAAATGTTCACTGGCGCTGGTCATCGATACCTACCTACCTGCCTACCACCCACGAGCTCGCACAGACACTTTATTATTTTAGCTGGGAGTACGGTAGGTAGTATGATCGCACGGTACTTTGACAAGAGATGACTACCTACGACCTTTATTACCTTACTACCTTACTACCTATTGCCTAGCTACCTATCAAGATAAATCAATTTCTGTCAATCTATCCTCCGTCTTCTCCTTCTCCTTCTACTTCTCCTTCTCCTTCTCCTTCTCCTTCTCGTCATACACTCGTCGGCGGGGTAAATAATTCCATCATCCTGCGGGTAGCTACCGCATTTCTATAATTAATTCGATCGATTTTGGAGACATTGTGGCTTCTTTACTAAAAGATGTCTTGTCTGTCTGTATGTCTGTCTGTCTCTGTCTCTGCTTAGGTAGGTAGTATCAAATACCTTCCTGCCTTCCTTTCCTCCCGCAATATTGACCTCATCGATCGATTGAAATCATCCAACTAATCATCTTGCTAGATACTCATACCACCATCTCGAATCTCGATCTCTCTACAGACGAATGAAACGATCCTCGTGCAATTACAAAGGGAATATGCAGCCAGCCGTTTGTGAGACTTGACTAGGGAAAATACCCACCAGCACGACAGGGTCATAAACAAGGAAATATATGCGACAACCACATTCGATATACAGGATATAAAAGATATACAGTAGAATACTCGAATGCAGAATTTATCAAGTGAACGAGTCTCGAGCAGGTGATGCCGAAATGCACCTGGGCCCAACATCCACTTGTAGATCCAACCCACTTAATGTGTTGCCATGCAATTTGATTTCATTTCTTCACACTCAACCGGTTCGCGACTTCACGTTATCTTATCAAAGATGAGAATATATGCGCTCCACTTAAGGTTACGCATCGACATATTTACGACTTCCCAACATCCATTTTGACGAAAATGTTTGGAGATGCCGACCCATTATTCTCGCAAGACTGGACTTATTGAGTTGAATCCACGAGGATCTACCACCAACCAAAGTGTCGGGTCTCCAGTAAAGCAAGGGGATGAAGAGTAAGCATTTCATGGGTCAATTGGATGGGTGACATCGTGAGAGCGTCACTTGCACTAGATTTGTGATGGCATAGATTTCGAGCCCCAGCCGTGGAGATTCTTGGTGAGATCCGTCTAGCATTCCCCACAGCTAATTTCATACGAAGTTTGCATGGTTGGCGTCTCACGAATCTATCATCCTCCAAATCTATGATGGAGGTCAGTGCACACAGTCACGACTGACTGAGATGTGTGGCACACACATGCAACTAGCTACATGCCACAACATCTCAGATTTTGGGTTTTGAGTTTGGAAGTTTTACAAATTTACGCGTTATGATCCAGATAATCTTTTCTCTCGCCACAAGCTGTGGCAATCAGCAATCAGCATCTCGATGCTCAATCTTCTCCAATTTGCAATGCCCCTAAAATCGAAATGCTGGTCTACCTAAAGTCGCACTTATTCTGTCACTATTTTGGTTTAAAAACAGTGCCATACGTGGTTGTCAGGGTATAGAGCCAACCATTGGTGAGATTTTCCAAGGCTTCAGCCCTCGACAAGGGTTGATCAAATGCAATTATCCGGGACACAAGTCAGTCTGACACGGCCATATCCGTACAGTACCATTTCCACGGGATCAAGCCGTCCGCCCCCCGGCTTAGTATTGCGTCTCGTATTGGCTCTTTATTCTCCTCCCATGGCACATCACGACTCTTTACTCTAACCCAGCGAAAACAATTTACCGTCCAGATGGGCGCATGTTGTGTGCAGTTTGTTCAACCACATAGGGCTGTTCAGACTTGAATATAATGCCCCTCTTCTTCTCAGTGATTTCCTGAAACCAGCAATTGACTCGAAGCCTCGAACGTTTGCTAATGTTTGCTCCACTAAGCCCAAATAACTCATCACATATGCATGGATCTAAAAGTACTCCGCGGCGAGCTTTCCGAGCCCCGCCAATTTATCACAACTTTCTATCACAATTTGATATGGTATCTACATATACAAACATTCCTTCCATTGTTAAGGCCGCGTAGTGCGCTGGAAAAGATTTTACCTGACCGGGGAATAAGTTATTCTATGCATACCGATCCGATAATATCAGCCGATCGGGCTCTAGGCTGATACTAAGAATTAACTTAGAACTAGTTATTGTAGTAATGGCGTTCGACACGATCCATACCTCAAAATGTCGCCGACAGATTTCGCTTCAAGCCACTTTAAGCAAGGTCGAATTCACCACTCCCCCATGAGATCTCTAGACCTTATCCTTCCCGCCTCCACTATGGATTTAATCCCAGTGCTTATATCTTCTTTTATCATGGCTCATGGTAGATCTTGCTTGGTGCCTCGCAAGATCCATGACCCATGAGGACTTTGACCTCTTTCGAAAGCTGGTAGTATATCCCTTTCATCAAAAGCCTCAGCGCCACACACTGTAGGTTCACAAGGTAGCCAATGCTGCCTCGAATTCTGACGTGCTGGCATGATGTTAGCGTCTTTCTGGATCATGACCATGTTAGTTTCCGATTGGCCATCACTCTAGCTACAATGTCTTCAAAATTGCAGCCTTGGTCAGGTTATCTCATAGAACCCTGCCAGTAGCAAATCTATCAATCACCCTTTTAGGATATCGTTTGTATGGGAATGATTTCAGCAGTAAAGCATACTAGTGAATTGCCAGCCTTGTCTGTTTTTGTTTCACTATCTCTGCCTCCCCGGTCAAGGCACTCGATTGGAATAGTTCGAATCGCTCTGTACAACCTTGCCTACCGGCACTTTCATCAGTAGTGGGGAACAAGCCTATATGAATCAATCTCCTTCCATTGCTTTAAAGGCCGGAAAAGACTTGTCCAGATCTCACAAAACGCATTCATTTCCAAGGTGTGACGCATATACAAATACTGAACATATTTCCTTCTTCAATACACACACTTTCTCAATAACTTCAACCTCTTTGATCATCTTCAGTTCATATTTGTTCTAAAGTCAAGTCTTTCTCTAAGCTTTTGTGTCAACTTGACGAACTCTTAACTTCAGATCAATCTTTACACTATCAGCAACCACAAGTCTTGCATCAAGCAAGACAACTCGAAAAACTGGCGATTATGTCACACACATCAGGCAACGCCTGGCGCTGGAGTGAGGATTCTCACATTCCATTTTGCTATATGGATACAGCCGGCATGGTCCAGTCTATGAATCCCCAAACAGCGACTTCAGCAGGTTTAGGGAGAGCAACTGTTGCTGCTCCCATCATGCCAATAAGCTCTTACGGTGGAAGCACTTTCAACATGCCCAATAGCCATCAACAGATTCCACAGAACTCATATGGTTTCGCATCTTACAATGATGGTAGCTTAACCACCATCATCCCAACTTACGGAGCCAATTATATTCAGCCACGACCTCTTCCTGGCATGATGCAACCTTTTGCTCCCAATCCAAAACAGGCACCTTTCAACGGAAGCAACCGACAAGGATTTGTGGGAAGTACGCATCAGAATCAAAGTCCTCAAATCAAACCTGAACCTTCATGGACAACACCTGCAGGTCATAAATCACCGCCGAAAACTCAATCAACCCCACCACCTAGCAAAGACATAAATCCTCTTCCTTTGACTGGCTCTGATGAGGCACACATTGGAAGCACAGCAATTGACCGACTTATGAAAGTCATTCAGACCAAAACTCAAACATTGCAAACGCAATTACCACCTATCCCTCAGATTACACCTGTGGTAGGTGCACCCCACACCCTCTCTCGACAGGATTCAATGTATCGAAGATTTTATGGATATGAAAAAGAAGAAAAGCAAATGCTCACACCCGGTAAGGCTCCGAGTGAACCAGGACACTCCAAGAGAAAAGAGAAGAAGTATCGATGCACTTTCGAGAATTGTCCATCAAGTTTCCCACAGAAGACACACTTGCAAATCCATCTTCGAAAGCATACCGGTGCAAAACCATACGTAAGTATTCAGAATCTATGGACGTCATTTAATATGTACCCCGAACTAATAGTATATGCTTAGACCTGTAGCTGGAAATCTTGCGGTCGACAATTCTCTCAACAAGGAAACCTCAAGGTAAGAGATCTATTTTGCCTCTCATCTGTCAAATTTCATGCTAACAAGATATCTTTTCAGACGCATATGAATCGTCACAGTGGCGAACGACGCTTTCCTTGCGAAATATGTGGGAAGCGTTTCGGACAACCAAGCAATCTGAGTGCTCATAGAATTGTTCACACTGGTGAAAAACCCTTCACATGCAAACTCGACGGATGCGAGAAACGTTTCACACAACTTGGTAACCTCAAAGTACGCTAACTCTTTAACTTTTCATTTTACTCTCCCTTTCATCGTCTCACTCTTAGAATAAGCTCTAACATTTCCTCACCCAGTCTCACCACAACAACTTTCACCAGCAAACAATTGAAAATCTCATGTTGAAACTTGAAAGCGGCGAAATCGACTTGGAGGCTAACAAAGAATTCTGGTCTTACTTCTTCACTCTCTACAAAAACAGTAACAAGGGCATCAAAGGCCGAGGCAAAGATAGAAACATCAGTCCCCGAAGTCGATTATCCAAGAGCGGCCATGCAAGTACTGGTACAAATGCTAGTCGTTATATCTCGTCTAACATGCGAAGTTGTCATGGACTCATGGGTGTGGATGCAACCTCACCATTCAGTAGTGATGTAACGATGTACGATTCCGATGCGAGTCTGAGGAGTCATACGAGTGGAAGCATGAGTGTACATAGTAGTTATGGATCTGTCTCCAGCGATGGAACAGCATCTACCTGCTCAAGTTTCTCAGATGAGATCACCGGAGATTATAAGGATCATCGTGGTGGAAACTCAAGAGGCGGATTGGCTTTTGGAGAGAGGCTGTACTAAACTTCTGCCATCAATTCAAGACAAGAGAGCCGGAGGATTGGTGAGGGGAGGGCGAGCACATATAACAAACGTACAAAGTTACGAGAAATGCAAGTTACGAATGAGCATACAAACGAAAAGACGAAAATGGGCGAACGGTAGAAAACTATCTTCATCAACACGATTATCATTCTCGTCATCATTATCAAACGACCACACACACGACCATCTACAAAAAAGCGTTGTATTTTTACGGCACCAGACCGAGTACCTACCCATCACTTCTGTATCAGAAGTAGTTTATCAGGACATTTTTCTTTCTTAATTTTTTTATATCTTCCATTATCACAATCATTTCATTCTTTCATTTTTCATTTTCATTATTTTTTTCCGGGTGGTACAGTCAATACAAAAATCTTACAAACTGCGGATATCATGTATTTCTTAGGAAGGGCAGGGATCTTTGTATTTTGGGCAAGCAATAGTGGAACGGGGAGATATTAGTAGATGTATGAGGACGGAATGGGAATGGGAATGGGGCAAATGGATGGAGTATATTTTGTATGGATAGGTTGAGGAATCGATGAGTAGGGGAATAAGTGGAGAGAAAGTGGGAAATGGGAGGTAAAATATTGAGTATTATTATCACAATAGTTGATAGTCAGATAGTCAAGTGAATTAGATTTATTAACGAATAATATGACCACATTCTTATCAATTTAGCTTGATCCATTTCAAGTTGTTCAATACTTCCATGATACCATTGTGATAACAATGTGCTATTCTAAATACTGCTGTGGAGGAATCTCATGTTTTACAACTACTGAATGACTAGAACTCAAGATATGGATCTCCTCAAAAAAGATATAGCGTTATTGAATCTTTTCTAGACCCTCAAAAAATTACACGTAGTGACCACTGACCGAATGCCATGAGGCTGCAAGTATTGACATCTCATCTATCCCTTACCTTAAACGGTCAGCCTCCCAGCTTCGCCTCGAATTATCCCGCCTGGAACCTCTACCGATTATTGAAACCCGACGCGAGGGAGAAAGAGAATTTGGCAAGGAG